TATTATGGTGTGTTTTGAGTGAAAGATTAAAAATTCAAAATATTATTGATGTGAATTAAATAATGATGTGTATTAAGAATATTGATGGTGTGTAAATAGAATCACCCATCAATTTATTGTATTTTTTGTTAAGTTACAACAATGTCCTTAGTGTTAAATTACTTAACGAAAATTGTCATGCAATTATCGCATGAGACAATTTTTTAGGGGAAACATATAAATACATATATTATATATATTTTTTTATTTTTCTGTTTGTACCGTATTTTGTAAATCTACTAGGAAAGGAGTGGTTAGTGGTGGTGAGTTTAGAAAATATAGGAAATTGCCATGTGACTTTGTTCAAAACTTTTAATTTTTTAGGTCTGTCTAGTAGGTAGTAAACATAAAAGTTTATCGATTTATTTTATTTTTTTTTATTTTTTTTTATTTTTTAAGGTTAATAAAACAATTACGAAACCCACTTCTCTCTCTCTCTCTCTTTTTTTCTTTTTTATTTTTTTATAAAAGTTAATAAAACTATTACCAAACCCACTCTCATAAGACATACATTATAGGAATAGGATGTTAATGATCTTAATGTGTTAAGGATTTTTATTTAGATGTTAATTTTTAAGATAAATTACACTCAGTTCTTTTGAAATTTAGAAAATATATATATATATATATATATAATTAATTGTATGATTTTAACATAATTACATTGATATCTTTTTTAGTAAATCTAAAGTGACTGAAACAAATCTGAAACTAATGCAGACGGTGCGTACACACTAAAATAAATAAAGATAAATATATGTTTTTGTAAAAAATATATGAAAATATCATTTAAATTTTCATTTATATAACTAATGAATTACTGATGAAAAATAACTTAATTGTTATGTGAATTAAAATCTCAAAAGAGATCAATATAATTATGTTAGAAGTGTGGGATTAATTGTATTTTTTCTTTTTAATCTTTAGGAGGGATGTATAATTTTTTGCTAATTTTTAATCATAGGTAGGTACTTTAAAAAAAAATACATAATGTGTTATGGATGGTGCGTTTTTATATATTAAACGTGTAATTTCTAGATCAAATTTGAATCTTTTCATTATAAAATTCTACAATAAAATAGAAGGTGGGTCGTACTCTATTTATGGCATTCTAAAAATACAAGAATGTTTAACACTCATGAGGCACATATTATTGGAATAGGCTGTTTGTTGTTTTGTTAAGGGTTTTTATTAGTATGTTAATTTTATTTTTTATTTTTTTATTGTTATTATTATTATTATTTTTTTTTTGTAGATGGGGTGATGAAATCATATTTTGTTTTCCTATCAATTGTGATCAATTAATTGTGTCAAATCTAATTTTATTGTGACTTGTCGACTAGATAGTTTCAAGTCAAAAAAATAATCCACTACAAAAAGAAATTTGAGAAGTCTGTCGTCAAATTTGTGATCTGCCGATCAGCCACAAATTATTCCCTATTCCTTCTATTGTTGTTTATGCTTCATATATATATATATATATATATATATATTGCATGAAAGCATGCATACATACAAATATTATATATATATATATATATATTTCTATGCTGACAAAGCCTACTATTATGAATTATATATATACATGCATGCAGTCATATAATATATATATAATTGGTGATTTGGTTGGTTATGCCAGCTTAACCTTTTGTTCGAAAAGAAAGGTGCCCACTAGGTTGATCATTTGATCATATGGTCTATTGACGAAGAAGAATTGATTCCCTGTTGGTGACCCACAATTAATCTTACTTTTTTTATTTTATTGTGCAAAAAAGTAGAAGTATAAATTGACAACCAGGCACGCGTATCACAGATAATTTTTTGAGAAATGTTGACGTGACATGATGTGTGTGCCAGTAAGGCGGAATGATGATATATCAAATGGAGGGTCAAAAGAGTTCGCCATTATAGCCATTTGAATGTTAGTTGCTTAAATCAAGAAGTCAAGACCAAGTTAAACTTTTGTTCATTGCCATGTCATTAGTGCTCCATTAGAGCACCAAAATTAGTGGTCTAAATCATTGTTGTAAATTGACAACCAGGCACGCGTATCACAGATAATTTTTTGAGAAATGTTGACGTGACATGATGAGTGTGCCAGTAAGGCGGAATGATGATATATCAAATGGAGGGTCAAAAGAGTTCGCCATTATAGCCATTTGAATGTTAGTTGCTTAAATCAAGAAGTCAAGACCAAGTTAAACACAAAATCTGCAAAGTAGTTCCTATCAAACATGGGATATGGATAATGTTGAAGAAATCATCAACTTGTTGAGGAAATCATTGATTTAGATTCTCTCTCTCTCTCTCTCACATGTGGTTCACCCTATAAATAGGCCTAGAGAGATGCAAAGAGAATCATCCACAACCACTAACAAATTGTGATATCTGATTAGGAGTAGTTTTGTCAAGCCCCACTTTTTATTACCCGAATAACATTACCATATCCATTAAATTACTCTGTTTCCAATAGTAACATGCAAAACTATACATACATTACATCCATAACTAAAAGAAAGTCCTCTCATCGTACATATATTGAATGCAATATGAATTACATTTAAACATGGATGGCAGTAGGCATACATTTTTACATAAAAATTAATGGATTAACCTTTTATAACAATGGCGTTTCGCCAACAAATATAGGGCCCTGCGGCCAACAATTAACGAAGATCACTGATCTTGAATTATCTCTCAACTTGCACCTGAAAAATAATTAGCATCGTGGGATGAATATAAAGTCCAGTAGGGATCCCAATATGATCCTAAACAATAACTACATACAGATAGCTATGATCATGAATGCACCACAACAATACAATATAAATAATGTGACAGTTAAATATCCAAAATACACTTATATTCGTACATTTTCCCAAAATCATCCTCTTTAATACACAATGTGTGAAAACCTCTTATTATCTTTCTATCTTTCCATTTTAGTTCAAAAGTATTTCATCACAGCATTTCCCTCAACCTTTACCCTTCTACTATGAGTTAAAGAATTTCATTTCAACACTTGTTTTGAAAACACGTTTTCACAACTAGTTATAACCTAATCTTACAATCCGACATACTATACACATATATACATCAATACATCTGCTATGTACCTTCCTTGGGCCTAGGCTCTAGGCCCATGGGTAAGCAACACTCACAACATTATACCAAGACATATTTCTGAATATTTATAATCGAGAGTAATGGATACTTCCATTTTCACCGGCCTATAGCATGGATGGGAAATGTAACAACAACATAACACAAAACGTTTTACTGTCCACACCTAGAGGGGAATGACCCCAAGGTCATACTTTACCAAGCGCAAAACGGAAGGCAGAGCAACCTATCTCAAGGTGACACATTTTACCGGCCTCCCGGAGAGAAACATACCTTAGTTTCAAACTTTACGGGGCGCAAAACAGAATGGAAAGGAACCTCTGCCAAGGCGCCACGCTTTAACGGCTTAACCAAAGAGATACGAACCTCCAAACAATATCAAAATATGTAGATCACATAGTTACTACGCAAGTGTAACACATACACATAATCTGTTCAACAACAACAATGCCATCCTCCACCGATGGCCAATGACAAAATCTCTAATATTTGAATACATAACTTCCATAAATTAAACCACAACTGGTTCCATAATTGTAGAGCATTATCATTTTCAATGAAATTATTTCACGAAACAGTTACGAATATCATTCCATTCTTCTAAACCAAATATGTTGTTTCAATTATTCAACACTTTAACCCCCTAACCAAAAAAAACCCCTTTCTCCTTTAATTAAACCATTTTTATGATATACAACTACAACCCAACTCAACACAGCATAAACAAAGCAATCTAAAGGCTCGGTTAATCTCCTTTACCAACCAAAGCATTAATTCAATCATCCAAAGCATTTGTTCAATCTCATAAGCATTAATTCAATCTCATAACACATAACACAATTATTACCTAACTTTACCCCTTTTCGTTTATTCATTCATAATAATAAATTGGGGCTTTTCGCCACTAGCAATCTAACAATAACCAACCTAACCATAACCAATCACGTCCCAATTCACCAAAACAACAAAAAACGTACAATTTTAACTCCTGAAACTCAAACCCTAAACCTCTTTTCATGTTTTTGGAAAAATCCCTTAACAAACATGTTTTTAAATGCAATAAAAACTACCACATGTCTATCTATAACAAGGTATTGAAAAGGAGCAACGAAATCCCTCCATCTTTAAGCAAAGAGGAGATAACCCAAAAATCACTGGCGACAAAACGACGATCCGCTTAGATTAAATGGAAGCCCTCGCCGAGCTCTATGTTTTGGTATATAGACATAAGGGTTAAAGATGTTTAGAAATAGATGAAAGTAGGGTTAAAGAGCTTGGAAGCTCAAAAATGGCAGAAAGAGAGAGAGAAGAGAAGGTGAAAAACGAAGAGATTTGACCCAAAAGTTGACTTTTAAAGATCTGATCCCGAACAGAGCAATCAAATCTGAGCTCGAACGGTGAATGAGATCTCTTAGTATCTATACTAATTGGAACAGACCACTCGAGTGGTCAAAAGTGTGCTCGAGCGGTGAATCAAGGCTTGTAGTATCTTAGAAATTTTTGAAAAAAAAGAGCTGGAAGGGTCTATGGACCGCTTGAGCGGTGAAACTTGCGTTCGAGAGAATTATGCACACAACACAGATTTACAAAATTCAAACAAGCATAACTCTCTTGTCAAGACTCTGTTAAGGGTCGTTCATGTGTCCAAATTGAAGCCCCGGAAGTAAGCTTTCCAATAGTTTTAGCCTCACATCAAGATTCAAAGTGTGTAGAGAGAAAATGATAAAAGAGTGAAGACTAGTCAATAACAAATATTTGAATTTGGAGTTTTTATCGAATCTCGCCCAACCACTATGGTAACACCTCAACCAAGGCTCAAATATCAACTAAGAAGGTTCTCAATTCTTGCTAGGTCTACTACTTCCCTGAACAATCAAAATTATCGATATATCATCTTGCTTCCCATCCTGACCAACATCAAGAATAATGGCTTCCACATGAGCCGTTGCCTCTACAAGTTTATGATAATCTCTATACATAGCCCCGACAACCTTTCCCTTGATGTCATCACACAACCTTCCCTCAAACTCAAGACAACGATGCTCCTTTGTTGCGACCAACTCTGGAGCAAATAGTGACAAATTGGTGAATCTCGCCTCAAACTATGCCAAAGGAGTGTCGTCCTGGCGCAACTCAACAAACTGTTTCCTCAATCTTTCCCGAGTGAAATGAGGAAAATACTTAGCTAAAAAGGCCTCAGTTAAGGCAACGTAAGTGGCCTACAAAAATCCTCACAGACTTCCACCAATAACCAGCGTCTCCCATTAGTTGGAAACTAGCCAAAACAATCCTCAATTCTTCACCCTCAACTATTAGCATATCAAGAGTCTTGGTAATTTGTTCTAACCAATCTTCTACCTCCAAAGGTTTAGGATCTCCCAAAAACTCAGGTGAATTGGGGCAGAGAAACTCCTTAGTAAGCTTGAAGGTACAACTATGGTCCCCTTTATTATGAGCTAGAGTATCTCTCACGGCTCTTATAATCTCGTGTGTAACTTCATCACCCACAATCGAGCTAACGGATTTGTTGTTCCCCTACTGACACTTCTACTCCCAACACAACCTCTACTACCTCATGTAGACATCCTATAAACCAAAAACAAAACCAAACTTAGTGAACAAAATAATGGCTTTTCTCGAGGCACACATACTCACCACCACTAAGATACAAGACACACTTAACACAAAATCACACAATCATATTCACATAAATAGTTAAACATTTAATCACATAATCGAATCAAGTCCACAAAGATAGTTACTCGTCCCAGAACTCACAAGGAATTCTCATTAGATACCACGTTAACCAAGCATGTTTCCAATGAGACTTCAAAGCAAGTTCACCAGTTACCAACACTATAAAGGAAACTTAATCACATGCTGACATAAATGCAACACACAGAGTCCTAACACTTATCCTAACTATATGCAAACGTCCTGACCAAGCATAATAAACCCATTGTAGTAAAAACCACTTCCCATAAGCCCAAAGTATTTGACTCGGCTCGCTCTCATACTAAGTTGTCAGGCCCCACTTTTTATTACCCGAATAACATTACAATTTCCATTAAATTAATCCATTTCCAATAGCAACATACGGAACTATACATATGTTACATCCATAAATAAAAAAAGTCCTCTCATCGTACACATATTGAATGAATATGAATTACATTTAAACATGAATGCCAATAGGCTTGCATCTTTACATAAAAATTAAGGGCTTAACTTTTTTACAATAATGGCATTCCGCCAACAAATATATGGCCCTGTGGCCAACAATCAAAGAAGATCACCGATCTTGAATCATCTCTCAACTTGCACTTGAAAAATGATTAGTAACATGGGATGAACATAAAGTCCAATAGGAATCCTAACATGATCTTAAACGATAACAACATATAGATAGCTATGATTATGAATGCACCACAACAATACAATATAAATAATGTGATAATTAAATATCCAAAATACACTGATATCCGTACATTTTCCCAAAATCATCCTCTTTAACACACAATGTGTAAAAACCTTTTATTCTCTTTCTATCTTTCCATTTTAGTTCAAAAGCATTTCATCACAGCATTTCCCTTAACCTTTACCCTTCTACTATCAATTAAATAATTTCATCTCAACACTTGTTTTGAAAACAAGTTTTAACCCAATCTTACATTCCGACACACTATACACATTTACACATCAATACATTTACTACGTACCTTCTCTGGCCCTAGGCCCATGGGTAAGGAACATCCATAACATTATACTAAGACATATATTTCTAAACATTTATAACCGAGAGTAATACATACTAACATTTCCACCGGCTTATAACACAGATGGCAAATGCAATAATCACATAACACAAAATGCTTTACTGGCCTCACCTGAAGAGGAACGACCCCAAGGTCACACTTTACCGGGCGCAAATTGGAAGGGAGAGGAACCTCTCTCAATGTGCCACTCTTTATCGGCCTCTCAGAAAGAAACAAATCTCAATTTCACACTTTACTAGGCACAAACCGGAAGGGTACCAGGTTAACCAGAGATATACGAACCTCCAAACAATACCATAACATGCTAGATAACATAGTTACCACACAAGTATAATACATACACATAATCTATTCAACAACAATAACACCATCCTCCACCAATGGCCAATGACAAAACCTCTAATATTTTAAATACATAACTTCCATGAATTAAACCACAACTGGTTCCATAATTCTAGAGCATTATCATTTTCAATGAAATCATTTTACAAAAGAGTTATGAATATCATTTTGTTCTTCTAAACCAAATCTACTATTCCAATTATTCAACACTTTTAATCCCTAGCCAAAAAAACCACTTTCTCCTTTAATTAAACCCTCTTTATGAAATACAACTATAACCCAATTCAACACAACAACATAAACAAAGCAATCACAAGGCCTTGTTAATCCCTTTTAGCAACCAAAGTAATGATACAATCTCCTAAAGCATTTGTTCAATCTCAAAAGTATTAATTCAATCTCATAACACAATACAACTATTACTTAACTTTACCCCTTTTCATTTATTAATTTTTAATAATAAATTAGGCCTTTCTACTACTAGCAACCTAACCATAACCAACCACACCCCAATTCACCAAAACAATAAAAAAAAAACATATAATTTCAACTCCCAAAACTCAAACCCTAAACCTCTGTTTGTTTCACAAGGATCTATGGTTTTCTAAGGTTAATGGATAATTTTTAATGGCTGAAGGTTTTTCTTAAAAGCGTTTAAATAGTTGTTTTTCGAGAAAAAGGTACCTTACTTATGATATTTTGAAATTATAAAATGTCACCTACTATATGGTATCACCCTGCATGCATGATCATTTCTATCTGTGTGTTAGTTATTGATTCAGAACTATGAAATTCCTACTGGGCATTAGTCCTCACCCCTTATTGTTTTATCTTTTTATAGGAAGAAAGTTTGGATTCTTTGGTTGAAGAATTATGGAGTCCTTGAGTCCCTTTGTATAACTTCATAGTGGATGTAAAAGAAATGGATCTTGTATTCGTATTTATTTATTTGTAGTTTCACAGTAGGAGATTGGTATGTATTGTTGTCATTATATTATTTATTGAGAGAGAGAACATGTATTATTTTGTTTCTATTACTCAAGGGTAATAGACACATATATTAAAAAAAAAAAAAATGGACCTAAATTACAGGCTTTTGGTAATGTTTCCGAGTAATTAAAAAGTTGGGGCGTGACACCAATGGTTGCCATAGCACACTTGAGCTCTTCCTCTTTCTTGATGATTAACTCTTCTAAGGCACTTTGAGACATCTCCAGAGTTTCAATCTTTTCTTCATATGCTGCATAAATTTGTTGTAGCTCATTCCCCTCTGTCGCACAAGTCACGAGTTTTGCACAAAGAGCTTGTCGATCACTTGAAATCTTAATGGCATCATTCCTAGCTTCGGAAATCTCCTCCTTTAGTTTGACATTCTCACTTTCATATGCTTTGAGTTTCGTTGTGAGTTTGTCATTCAATTTGGATAAGTTAAGAGACTCCTTATACAACTTTTTATAAGATTGCTTAAGCTCTTCATCATCACTCCCTGAGGATTCATCTTCAGTGGCATTCTCAACCGGCCTCTTCGAATACTCTGTTTGTCCTTCAATTGCGGAAGCTACCATGAAAGTAAGGAATTGTTTATGTCCCTCTTCGCAAGATCGCATATATCTTCAATTTTGAATGAACTGTAATCGTCCTTAGGATCTAAAGCAAAGCTAAGAATAAGCAACCCCATCACATCTTCTTTGAATCTATTGTTCAATTCTTGCAATTGAGAATCCCATATAATTGTAAAAATATCAACCTGAAAATGATGCTCAATAGTAATGTGATCTCTTTGGTGATAAGCACGACCTCTACTAGATGTGTAACGAACACTCATATCAGGAATATTTGTCATATTTTCCACAAAATAGTTGAACATTCTCCAACTAAAGAATCCATCTATCATCTCTATATTTTTGAACAAGTGCTTTTGTAGTTGACACTAGATGCATTGCATTCAATACATCTTGGGATTTATGTTGCAAGGCTTGGCAAAGATCATCAGTAGTCCCCATAATATCTCTCACAAGATGTAAGATAAACAAAAACTCAAAAGATGTAATCTTATCATAAACTCCATCTGTATCTGCACGTTGAGTAGAGGTGGCCTCATCATTGATGACATTACTTAAGACTAAACAAGTTGCACTAAACATATTTATCAAACTGGAAATAGATCCTAAGTGAGAACTCCATCGAGTATCTCCAGCTCGTTTCAATGTCCCAACTTGATTTTTGCCTTTACCAGTTTCAACTTCATAAATAGCAAGTTTTGCTACAATTTCTTCAACTTGAGCAACTTTCAACTAATCATGCCTTTTACAAGAAGAGCCACATAGATTAACTGCGAGAGCCAGATAAGAAAAAATTGGGCAACGGGTATAACCTCTCTTGCTGTCGCTACCAATGCTAATTGGAGTCGATGAGCAAAGCAATGAACATAATATGTAAAATGATAGACATGAAGAAATAAGGCCTGCAACCTAGTCCACTCTCCACGCATATTACTAGCACCATCATACCCTTGACCACGAATATTTTGTACATTGAGATTATGATGAGATAGGACAATATATATTTCTTCTTTCAAAGTTGCTGATGTTGTATCCGATACATGAACTATGTCAAAAAAATGCTCCTTTATAAAACCATCTTTATCAACAAATCGTAGAACAATGGCCATTTGCTCCCTCTTTGATTCATCTCGAGCTTCATCCACTATAATGCAAAATTGTGCTTCATCAATCTCCTCACGAATGAATCTTTGTGTTTTGTCAAAGAAAATACTAAGAATCTCTTTTTGAATTCGATGCGAGTAGTATGAAGCATTTTGAGGAGCTTTGTGTAACACAACATCTGCCACATCCGCATTATAAGATGCCAAGGGCTTTATCAATTCAATAGCATTCCCTCAATTATTAAATCATGACTTTCATCACGACCTCTAAATGCACAAGCTTGAAATGTAAGCCATTTGACAGCATCTATTGTAGTCTTCAACCGCAAACGGTTTTTTGCAATGTGTTGAGAAGTTTGTTTCTCAACTATCTTCTCAATGTGTTGTGCTTGATTTGTTAAATCATGGTAAGATTTAACATCAATTCTATGCGATAAATTAGGACCCTATTCCATATGAGTTAAGAAAGCACAATTCTTCCCACTATTGACTTTCTTCCATGAAGAAAATCCATCAGAAATGAAAGCACTAGTAGTGCGTCCATTCGGTTTTGTAAAAAGATAGCAAGGAAGACAAAAGGCACAATGTTTGGTTGGAGAATATTCTAACCAATCTGGAAATAACTTGTACCAAGAAGCTAGAAAATGATGTAAACTTGTCAAATCTTATCACGTTGAGATATCAAATAATCCTAAATTTGTGGTCGTAGTCCTGGATCTCTTACAAAAGAAGATGTATCAACTTCTTTGTATTCTATTCTAGGCACTTTACAAGGACGTTGTTTAGGAATTGAAGCTTCAACATTATCAGTGGAAGGTTTTGTAGTTGCATTAACTTCTATATCTTGAGAGCCTCTTTTCTTAAAGAAAGAATCAATTTTTTTGTTCACCATAATTCACCTAACATTCGACTCAGTTTTATTTAAGAACCTGAAAATTATTAAACAATTTTTGTTACTCACTAGGTAAGAAGCACACTAACAATATAATCTAATCTAACAAAGGACATGTCATTTTGAATGGGTAAACAATAAAAATCTTCAGAGTAATAGAATTTCTAACCCTAACGAGGTGAATAACATCCAAATTGAAGTGAATTGCAACGAAATTAAAGATATTTAATCCTATTCATCTCTAAGAAATTAAAGGTATTTATTATTATTATTATTATTATTATTATTATTATTATTATTATTATTATTATTTAAGTCTACAGTAAATGCTTGGTTTTGCAACCAAAGCAAGAGAAGATTTCAATTTCATTTTCATTAGTGTTCCTCCAGTTTCTCAACAACCAAACAAAGTATATTCAGATTTTTATTATTTCCAAAAACGAGATTAATCATTTAAAAAAAAAATTAGACAACAAATGAGTGAATAAATTTGAAAAAAAAAATGGAAGAGATTAGTATTACCTAGAAGTGAAAAAGTGAAAATCAAATCAGAGGATGCAAGGGAGCTTAAACGAATTAGAGGATGCAAGGATGCAAGGAGATTAGTATTCCTCCGTTTGTTGTTTCAGTGCCGAGTTCTTTTCCAAGCTTCCATATCATTTACAGAGAGAGAGAGAGAGAGAGAGTAAAGTGGAGAAGGGGGTTAAACAATTAGGTTAATAAGAATTTGGAGACATTTTCAAGCGTGGGACAGGTTATACGTGAGTAGTATTTTTTTATTTATTTAGTTATAACCAAACAATTAAAAATTTTGGGCCTAATTAGACAAAAAGGACGTTAACTTATTAACAAATAAATTCTCAATTATTTTAACATTACTAAATTTAAAATAAAAAGTAATCATACTTAAAAAATAAATTATTATTATTATTGTTTTTAGTATTTATCAAAAAAAATCATTAAAATTTTAAATTTTAAAGTAAAAAATTTAGGGGGTGACGGTTGTACAAAAATTTTGGAATGGTGAACCTATATAATTTTAATACTATATTTAGAAAAAAATTTCAAAACTTTGGGGGCGATCGCCCCTGCCAACCCCCTCTCGGTCTATCCTTGTGCATGTGGTATATGTATACACATATATATAATTGGTGTTTTAGTTAGTTTTGTCAGCTCAACCTTTTGTTCAAAAGAAACGTGCCAATTAAGTTGATCATTATTTGATCGTGTGGCTCATCGATAGAGAAGAATTGATCACTTGTCGGTCAGTCACAATTAATTTTAGTATTATTATTTTATTGTGCAAAAAAGTAAAAATGTGAAGTAGCAACCTAACACGCATATTATAGATAATTATTTAAGAATGTTGACATGGCATGATGAGTGTGTCAGTGAAGTGGCTTGATGATATATTAAATAGAGGGTCAAAAGAGTTAGTCATTATGGTCATTTGAAAATTAGTTGCTTGGATTAAGGAGTCAAAATCAAGTTAAACACAAAATCTGTAAAGTGGTCCTATCAAATATGAGATATGAATAATATTGAGGAAATCATGAGTTTGTTGAGGTAATCGTGGGTTTAGATTATCTCTCACATGTAAGTAAGCAATTTTAGGACTAGATTACTGATAGTTTTTTTTCAACCCCAATTCTTTTCTTCTTTCGATTGCTGTATTTTTCAATTTTTTGTTCTTGTTTAAGTTTATTGTAGCAAGTGACAATTTATTTAAATAATACATATTTTGTTCTGTTCTGTCTATTCTTTCTCTAATCATCTCCAAGGTAGTCCTTAATTTGTTTAAAGCATAAAAATCAATCACGAAATTTGATCATTTTATTTTGTGTGGAAATTAATTAAATCAATCACTGTCGATTAGGTTTAAACAAATTTTTTACTAACAATGGATAACTTTTTCTTTAGAACGGGGTTAGGTGGGTACTTTATGTACATAATTTGTCATGCGTTTGTTTAAATTTTTTTTATTAAACGTGTGTAATGCATGTTACTCTAGATCTAGATCGAATACTATAAATTTTTTTATTATGAAATTCTATAATGAAATAGGAGGTGAGTCCTACTCAATTCTTATGACATGAAATTTAAAATATAGAAAACAATCATGACTCTTATTAAGCACAAATTATTGGAATATAATGTTTGTTGTTATAAGGTGAACGATTTTTATTTTGGGAGATTGATCAATAAGTCTGTCATATTAAGGTGTCACATTATTTCTGTCACGTTGTCATGTTTGAAAAAAGTACATTATTATTTTTTTTTGAGTAAAAATTTTAGAGTGTCACATTATACCCACCACGTTGTCACATTAAGAAAAAGTACACTGTAGAGTTTTTAATTTTTTTGGAGAGTCACATCGTTAGAGTGTCATATTAATACTTGTCACATTGAAGTATCACATCATACCTGTCACATTAATAAAAAGCTATAACAGTCTATCAAAATACAACCAAAATAAAAAAAATAGGACCACACAGAAAGAAACTCTCCACTAATAGAATTTAATAGATCAATAGAAAAAATTTAAAACTAATTAGAGTATTTGTTTGTGAAATAAGATTTATTGATAAATATTCTTTTTATCTACGTGATTAAATTTTTAATTTTGTTAATCATTAATTAAAGAGTGTATATAATGCATGTTTTGTTTTTGTTTATTTTATCTTATTTTATTTATTCATGGTAGTAGGTTTTGTCAACATAGAAATATATGTATAATATTTATGTGTATGCATATATGCATGTGGTATATATAATAATTGGTGTTTTAGTTGGTTTTGTCAGCTCAACCTTTTGTTCAAAAGAAAGGTTATCACTACGTGATTGTTTAGCAATGATTTTTTTAGTTAATTTTTTGATTTTTTTGATTTTTTTAGCCTGTGACTTTTTTAGTCATTTAGTATTCTTATTTGGTTTTTTTAGCTTTTTGGCTTTGGAATGGTGTATTTTTTTTTTTTTTTTTTTTTTTGTTTATTTTGTTCTTTTGTGATTTTTTGATTTTTTGATTTTTTTTTTGTCCTTTTATGATTTTTTAGCCCAATAAATTTACCAAACGACCCCCAAGTTGATCATTATTTGATCGTGGCTCATCGATAGAGAAGAATTGATCACTTGTCCGTCAGTCACAATTAATTTTAGTATTATTATTTTATTTTGCCAAAAAGTAGAAACATAAAGTGGCAACCAAATAATTGTTTAGGAATGTTGAAATGACATGATAATAAGTGTGCCAGTGAGGTGGCATGCTAATATATTAAATGGAGGGTTCGAAAAGTTAGTGATTATGGTCATTTAAAAGGCGTTTGTCTGTAGACAATTTCTCTCTCTAGCTTTTCATGGACCAACATGCAAGCATCAATTCCGGCACCACCCCAATCAATTCTGCTGCACATCGTGAATCACTAACCCAAGAAAAATCTTCCGAAGAAGAAGATCATCTGATCAGAAGCACAAAGAAAATCAAAAGCTCAAATTCTGCCAAGGAAGGTAGTGAAGGCAAAGTGACTGATATGGAAACAGAACTTCCCAAGGATGATCTTGGAGAACAAAGGCACCCAGATATGGATTCTGCCCCCCCCTCCCCCTCTAATTCCTTCAAAGAAGCCCTCACTTTTGTCCATAGCAACGATTACATCTTTGACAGCAGAGTGGATAAATTATCATCTGATGAAGAAGATACTGAAGATCCAGAGGGCCAGTCTACCATACAAGGAACTTCTCTAGAGTAGCGGGGCCTCCCCACTATATCTCTTCCCAAGAAGCATCTGGGTAAAATTAGGAAACCATGGGAGAATGCCCTTATTATCAGACTGCTAGGGAAGAATATTGGCTACAAATTGCTCTGCTCCAGAGTCAGAAATCTCTGGGGTCTGCAGGGCGAATTTAATGCAATTGACCTGGGATGCAATTACTTCCTATTTAAATTTTCAGACCAGACTGATTGTGCTAATGTCTTCACAGGAGGACCATGGGTTATCATGGATCACTACCTTACTGTGAGACGCTGGGAACCTAACTTTAGACCATCAAAAGCCTTTGAAACCACAACCGCAGTTTGGGTTCAGTTTCCTGGGCTTCTGATTGAGTATTATCAAGAGAAAGTCCTTTTTGTGATAGCTAAAGCTATTGGTAAACCCCTTAAAATCGATTGGAACACTGCGATGGCAACACGGGGAAAGTTTGCTCGAGTTTGTGTAGAGATGGACCTCAGCAAACCGCTAAAGCCCAAATTCTTATTAGAGGGTATGGTTTATAACATCGAATATGAATCTTTGCATTCTTTCTGCTTTCTCTGTGGCCGAATTGACCACCGTAAGGAGGGTTGTCGTTTCAAAACCACCAGTGCTCCACCGGTGGTGGAAAATATGGCCGTTTTCGGTACTGAAAAATCTGACCATCCACCTGTGATTGATAACGGTCACCTACACCAGGATCGTGAGGAAGATGAAGATTTTGGCCCATGGATGTTAGTGACTAAGCGTCCTAAGAGACCAGCCCAACAAAAAAGGGCCCAAAATCCCACTAGCACAATTACTAGCACTAATCCCTTTTGGTATTTGGAGGTGGGCCAAGATGGGCTTGGATCTGCTCAAAAGGAAAGGATGACTGCTCAAAATGCAGGGGAAAAGGCCCAAGGAGAACCCAACTTCTTAACTAGTCGAATACAAAATACAGACCCTAAAGGAAAGAACAAACAAGGGCTTCAGCAACACAGAGCTAAGGAGTTAGACACACGTAGCAATCAGCAAGTAGTTTGGCAGAGAATAGGGGAAAGTTCAACCTCACGCGCCATTGCTCTGCAAGCGGAGGGCACTTCTCGTGATCAAGCCAAGATGACAACACATATCACTGCGAATCAACTCTAACATAACACCTCTGACATGTCCTATACATTGGAAACTACCCTAAGTCCAGAAGACTCTACTATGGTTGAAGTTAACCCATCCTCTACTTTATCCCCCTCACTAGATCCAAACCCAGCTCTCAGCCCTCTTAATCCTATTTACCCAGATCGGGAACCACCAGACCCAGGTGAAACAATCAATGGAAAGAGCATATCACAAGACCCCGAAGGACTCCCCCCCGGAGGTGACCGAACATCGGCAGCAGAAGGATGTTGTGAGCCTATTGTTAGAACCAGGAAGCGAAGCAACTCACCTAGTCGCTTTCGTCTGGTGGATCGAACAACTCCAAATGACAATCGCTCTAAATTGGGCAGCTCAACAACAAAGTCCTCTACACTCGATCCAGTTAGCCTCCATGAGGTCAGCAGAGGCAGATCGACGAAGGATTCGCTACATTGTTAAAGATCTGGTAATCGACTCCCCCCTTCAATACCCTTCTATGGATTTATTTAAACTCCTTTTCTAGAATTTCCGCGGCACCGACAATAACAACTTCAAACAAAATTTTGTGGAGATTATCCAAACTCATAAACCTGAGATCATCATCCTTATGGAGACCAAAGTGCCTTTTAGCTCCATGGAAAATTTCTTTAACCGCCTGGGTTTCACAGCCTCAACCTTCGTTGACCCTGTTGGTAAAGTAAGAGGGATTTGGATCGTTTGGGACAATAACCATGTCAATGTAAGAGCATCCTGGGTAAGGCCCCAAGCCATTCATGCCACTATCCATAAAGAAGATTTTGAGGAATGGGTCCTTGCTGCCGTCTATGCCAGTCCAAACCCTGTCTTGGGGGAGAACCTGTGGGATGAATTGGAAGAGGTAACAGAAACCATGTCTAAACCTTGGTTGGTAGCTGGAGATTTTAACGACTATGCAAACCAGGGAGAACGTCGAAGCTTTACATCATCCACAACCTCTGCCAGAACCCAGAAGTTTTTAGAGAGGATCAACAACTATAACTTAATCGATTTGGGTAGCTCAGGGCCGAAAATGACATGGACTAACAATCGCCATGGCTTGGCTACTACTATGAAGAGGCTTGATAGAGCTTTGAGTAATCCTGAATGGAGAACCTTGTTTCTAGAAGCCACAGTGAGGGTCCTTCCTCGCACCTACTCAGATCACTCCCCTCTGTTAGTGTACACCCAAGGTATGCATATTCTTAATCCTACTTAGAGGCCTTTCAGATTTGAGGCTGCCTGGATGTCTCACTCTGGACTTATTGATATCATAAATTCTTCTTGGACTGATATGCATCATCACCTCCTTGATTCTATTGATGAATTCACGCGTAGAGTGACTGAGTGGAATAGAGAAGTTTTTGGTAATATATTTAAGAGAAAAAGACACCTCCTCTCTAGGATAGAGGGCATTCAAAGATCTTTAGCAAATAACTTTTCTCATAATCTTCATGTCATAGAACAAGATCTTCTAAAACAATACAATGCTAGTCTGTTTCAAGAGGAAACTCTTTGGTTTCAGAAATTTAGGGATAAGCACATCACTCTTGGGGATAGAAATACCAAGTTTTTTCACATTTCCACTATTACTAAGAAGAGGAAAACCAAAATCAATGCACTTAAAGACCCTGCTGGTATTTGGCTCAGTGAGACTAATCAGATAAAGGCTGCCATACTTGATTATTTACAAAATCTTTTTATTAGTGAAGATGTTATTCAACTTGATCACTGGAATAATCTAGCTTCTACATATTTTACTCATGATGACAACATTGGGTTCCTTAATCCCATTTCTAATGCTGAGATCCTTAGGACTGTTAAAGACATTGGTGCTTTCAACTTGATCACTGGAACACTATAGGTAACTCTGTCTGTCAATTTGTTAAACAGTGCTTTCACAACAGAACTGTGCCTCCTAAGGTCAATGAAACTCTTATTGTTTTAATACCCAAAGTTGACTGCCCTGAAACCATTACACAATTTCGTCCCATTAGCCTCTGTAATGTTAACTATAAGATTATAACCAAGATTATTGTGGGCCGTATTAGACCTCTTTTGGACAACATTGTCTCTCCTAATCAAAGAAATTTCATCCCTGGTAGGAACACTACTGATAATATCATTATCACCCAAGAGATCCTGCATACTTTAAGGCATAATGAAGGCAAAAGGGGTGGCATGATTTTCAAAATTGATTTAGAGAAAGCCTATGATAGACTTTCTTGGACCTTCATCAAAGACACTCTTCTGGAGTTTAAACTTAATGATACTTGGGTTGATCTGATAATGAACTGTGTTACCAACAATCATTCTTCCATCTTGTGGAATGGAGAAATCATTGATGGGATTCACAATAAGAGAGGTCTCCGACAAGGAGATCCTCTTTCCCCCTACCTCTTTGTCCTCTGTATGGAGAGATTATCAAATATGATTCATTGTAAGGTCCAAGAGGGCTCTTGGAAAGGGCTCAAAGCTTCTAGACATAGCCCATCCCTATCCCACTTGTTCTTTGCTGATGATTTGATTCTTTTTGCTCAAGCTACTCCATCAAATTGTGAAATCATCATGGATACCCTTTCTGAGTTTTGTGATGTGTCTGGGCAGAAGGTAAATCTTCTCAAATCCAAACTCTTTGTTTCCCCTAATGTTCCTAGAAATTCTACCAAAGCTCTTAGTTTTTAAAGTGGCATTCCCCTCACCCATAACCTTGGAAAGTATCTTGGCTCCCCCCTTCTTCATTAGAAAGTCACCAAAAATTTGTTCAATGACATTCTAGATAAGATGAAAACCAGACTCTCAGGTTGGAAAGCTAGAACCCTTAGCCTAGTTGGTAAAACAACCCTCATTCAAGCTGTGACCTCTGCCATATCCACCTATACAATGCAAACCATGGAACTCCCTAGAAAACTCTGTAATGACATTGACAGACTTAATAGAAACTTCTTGTGGGGTGATTCTGACACTCGGAAAAAAGTTCACTTAGTTAATTGGGATAATGTGTGCCAAAGCAAGGATGAGGGTGGTCTTAGTATCAGGAACGCTAGAGATCAGAATACTACCCTCCTAACCAAACTTGGATGGAAACTTTTGAGCGATAAAGATAAACTTTGGTGTCAAATTTTTCACACCAAGTACCTGAATCATCATAATCTTTTCACTTGGCCTATGAAAAAAAATTCTTCTCACTGTTGGAGAAGTATCTGTAAGGTCAAGCACATCCTTAGGAAGGGAATCAAATGGATTGTTGGGGATGGGAATAATATATCCCTCTGGAATGATTGGCGGTGTGGCTCTCAACCTCTATCTCAACAGAATAACAGCAATCCTGTTGATGACTCTGTCAAGGTCAGCTCCATTTTAGATGCTGAGGGTAATTGGGACATTCCTACTTTGTCCACTCTTGTTTCCAACCAAGACCTCAATGAAATTCTAAAGATTTACAGGCCCAGATACGTTACCTTCACTGATACCCTTGCTTGGGCCCGCCCCTTCGGAATCTGGTAACTTTACTTCTGCCTCTGCTTTTAAATTCATTACTCATTCTGAGTTAGATCACAGGGACTGGAAATGGATCTGGAAAATTCAGATCCCACAAAAGCTGAAACTTTATCTCTGGTTGATCTTACAAGATAGATTGTTGACAAACCAGTTGAGACTGGTCATACATCTAGCTACTACTGCTGATTGTCCCAGATGTGGCCATCACAGTGAAACCATGGCACATTTGCTTAGAGACTGTGCCACGTCTAAAGAATTTTGGATCAACATCCAAAATCTGAATTGGTGGGAAGAGGGACAGAAATTATCTCTGACTGAATGGGTTGTTGTGAATATGAAAAGCAAAAAACTCATTTACAGAAAAAAATGGTGTCTTGTTTTCATTGTTACTCTATGGCAAATTTGGAAAGACCGAAACAAACTGATTTTTGACAATCTTTCCAACCCACTTTAGCTCAATCTTGAGAACATCTTCCAATATGTTCAAGAGATTGAGGAGGCCTTTTTATTTCCTCTCTGCCCACCACCTGTAACTCCTAAACTAATCCATTGGTGTTGTTCAACTGCAGGTAAGCTTAAGCTTTATACAGATGGCAGTTCAAAAGGCGACCCAAGACAAGCTGGTTATGGGGGATTGCTATGAGATGAAACTGGTAATTGGGTTTAGGGATACTATGGTAAGCTTGGTCACTGCTCCAGCTTAGAAGCAGAGATTTGGGCTATCTACCGAGGTCTAACAATACTCTTCCAGAAAGGAACTAGAGATGTCTAAATTGAATCTGATTCTGAACAGGCGATAAGCCAAATCCTGCATGGTCCAACTCAACATTCTCCATATAAAGCTCTCAATGAAGATGCCAAGTTCTTATTGAGAAGAAGTAATAGCTCTCTTCAGCACACCCTGCGTGAGGGAAACAGAGCTGCTGACCTCTTAGCCAACTTGGGAGTGGATCAAAATGAACATGTTGTTTTCCTTGACAACCCTCCAGCTGAAATTACAACTTTCCTTATTGAAGACATGATTGGATCTCTTTTTGAGAGGGACTAGCCCTCTGTTTGTTGTAATCTTAACTCAGTAACTCTTGTTCTTTGTTTTCTTATGAATCTAAAAAAAAAAAGAAAAAAGATTATGGTCATTTGAAAATTAATTGTTTAGATTAAAGAGTCAAAATTAAGTTAAATACAAAATCTCTAAAATGGTCCTATCAAATATGGGATATTAATAATATTGAGGAAATCAAGAGTTTGTTGAAGTAATTGTGGTTTAGATTATTTTTCTCATGTAGTTGAGCTTATAAATAAGTCAAGAGAAATACAATCATCCACAATCACTCACAAATCATAATATCTAATTATGAGTAGTTAAGTTAGCAATTTTAAGACTAGATTATTGATAGTTTTTTTAGCCCCTACAATTTTCTTCTTTCGATTGCTGTATTTTTCAATTTTTTTGTTCTTGCTTAAGTTCATTGTAGCAAGTGACAATTTATTTGAATAATACA